GGGGAGAGGTGGAGAGGGAGGAGGGAGAGAGAGAGAGATAGAGAGAGAGGAGGGGGAGGGGGAGGGAGAGAGATAGGGGCGATGGAGAGTGGAGAGAGAGGGGGAGAGAGGAGAAAGAGAGAGGGGGAGAGGGGAGAGAAGGAGGATGGAGAGAGGGGAGGGAAATAGCTTTGGCCTTGATCTGAGTAATGGGGTTGTCGATGAACTTTGGTCGTCCAATCATCAGTCTGTTCTCTTGTCTGGCCTACCAGCCCCTGGTTTGTTTTAGTTGAGTTTTGCGGCGCTCGCAACTGCATAAGGTCATATGAGCGCCAAATATTTCTTCAATCTTTCCCGGTTTTCCTAAAGTTTCTTTACCCAATACTCACACAGACCCATATCTTTTGTGAGTACATTTAACAAACAAAATGTCTGCTCCGTATCTACCTTTCTGTCCTGGTGGGTGGTTGGCGGGTGCTCTGGTGCGGTTTGCTTCTTCTTTCCTATCAAACATCTATCGTCCTTATCTCCCCTTCTTCTTTTTTATGTGTGTTACTCTCTTGTAACACCTCTAATCTTCTGGCGCTCATATGACCTTATGCAGTTGCGAGCGCCGTAAAACCTCTACTAAAACTAAAACTTTCTGTCCTGGATTACAAAATCGCGACCCCGGTGCTTTCTTGTCATATCTCCATTTCAAAAAAATTGATAATGTGACTTCTTCTTAAGCTTACTCTTTGTTACGACCTTTTTTAAAAAAAAAATGACGGATAAAGCAAAACAAAAGAAATCTTTATGCCCAGCATGGAGGGGAAAAATCGACCTTTTGCCTTAATACATGATACAACCGATTCTACACCTGACCTTGAAAAACAGACACTTCTTATATGACCTTATTGGATTGCAAGTGCCGTAGAACTCTTACTAAAACTAAAACGAGAATTCGATCGACAGTGTACACAGGGCATTAGACTTTTTAAAAAAATTTTAGTAAAGTTTTACGGCGCTCGCAACTGCATAAGGTCATATGAGCGCCAAGAGGTGGATGTCAACAGAGAAGTCCAAACGGGGAATCAGACTTACTCTGCTCACCTCTCTAGCCTCAACAGCACAATGTCTGTTTTTACTATCAAAGCACCCCAGAAATAGCAGTTCACAAGAGAGTGACACACATACAAAAGAAGTAGAGGAAAAAATGACTATAATAAGGATGAGGAAAGAAAAAGCAGCAGTTCCTTCAATGTTGATTCGGCACAGTGCGAGCATGACATTGATAAT